AAAGAGCTGTGCCCCCTCGGATTTTTCTTGAGCCCGCTGCGAGGGCCTGGCACGGAGGGGACCGCGCTATCGAGGCTGATTGCTCCACAGTTTACTTTGAGGTTCTTTGCCCCTTTTCTAGGAGGAAAGCCTGCATTTCCAGCACAAACTGGATGCCCTGGAAGCGGAGATCTCCCGCCTGTCGCTCGAACTCCGGGATCTGGAGAACGTGAACAGTGACGCCCAGCGTGCTCGGGATGCAGCCAGGGTAGGGAGTCAACTTCACGTGGGAAGAAGTAACCTTGGCCCAGCATCCTGGGTGTGCCGCGGGGGACGGATGAGGCCGGAGCAAGGGGGAACACCCAAGAGGGGCCCCCAGTGCATGTGGCTACTGAAACCCCGTGGAGTTGCAGGGTAACGTCAGGGTGTGGGAGGCATGTGGGGGAAACGTCACAACAGGGTGGGGCAGCCACTAAGCAGCACAATAGGATTAGGATGGCAGAAATCTTTAACCAAGCAGAAATGTGAGAGGGAGCGGAAACAAAACATGTATTAATGTGACATGTTAAATGATGGAAAAAATCAGGGGTCATTTGGTAGAAAAAGAGGTGCAGGCGCTCATTAGCATAACTTATTTGCATATGCCATGCCCCCTGACCTCACCGAAAGTGTGTCAGAAGGCAACACCCACCGCTCAGGCTCCACTGGACTGTTTTGGATTGCTAGCTGTTGGGGGGGGGGAACGCGCAGATCTGCCCTCACAGAGGAGGGAGAGCTTGTACCTGAAGGCGGCCGGGGGGAGCGGGGGCTCTGCAACTTACCTGGCTGCTTCTTGCTCCTCGTGGCCCGACTGAGGGCTGCTGGGAGCAGGGGGCGGGGCTTGTTGCATGTGCTCACCCCCTGAGCTCCTTACTGCCGGAGCTCCGCTCCTGTGCGCTCCCGCAGGAAATGACCCCTGAAAAAATACATAGTAGGATCATATGCACAGCAACGGATAGTATGTACTATACATGGTAGTATACTACTGTCCCTTTTATTAAAAGAGCAAGAGTCCAGTAGCACCTTAAAGACTAACAAAATCTGTGGCAGGGGCGGAGCTTTCGTGAGTATCTGAGGAAATGAGCGGTGACTCACAAAAGCTCCTCCCCTGCCACAGATTTTGTTAGTCTTTAAGGTGCTACTGGACTCTTGCTCTTTTAATAAAAGGGACAGTAGTATACTGGCTGCCCACCTTAATTAAAGTCTCTTTCTGGACCATTTCATTATAATAAAGCCCTGCGTAAGCATACCCTCTTGTATGACTAGATCTGTGTCCGATAGCACCCTAGAGACTGTTGGGAATTTTTGGTAGGGTCGCAGAGTGCACAAAGGCCTTAAAAAACGCAGCGAAGGTGTGTGGTCAGCACGATAAAACAAAGTGATGCATGGAGCCTCTTTTATCTTTTCAAAAATAAGAGGAATTCCATTTCTAGATAGGAAAGCGTAAAGATAGGTTCCTAATCTAGTCTAACTATCTAGGATGGATGCAGATGCAGGAAGCAGGTTCTGCTCTCGTGTCTGCCAAGATGGAGAAGGGCAGAGCAGTGTGGAGAGAGAGTGTCAGAGCCGGAAGGAAGGACGTATCCCTAAGAGTAGCAATCTGCACTTCAAAGGGGATAGACAAAGGCTGACTGCCCAGTCGCACAGGGGTCTTCTCATCAGCCCCGAGGTCTCCCAGAAGGGGCAACAGTTCACACTCTCCCTTCCCCCCCCCAACCATACAGGACCAGCTCCTGACCCAAGAGGAGACCATCTACCGAGAACGGAAGCTCCGGGACAAGAAGCTGAAGGACCTCAAGAAACTGACGGAGGAGAACCGAGCCCAGAACGAGCGGGCGGAGAGACGGGTAAGCGGGGGTGCGGGGTCTTCTGCTCTCCGGCCTCCCCTCCCGGGCTTCTTTCCGGTGCTGCCCAGCAGGCATCTTGGCTTTGGATCAGCCGAAGCCTGGAGTGGGCAAGCGGCGCCCTGAACTGAATTTGTGCAGACGTGACACACGTTTGCGTATTTTTCAGAGGCTGCCCCTGAAATGCGGTATCCCCACCCCACCCCCGGCTGTGGAGGTTTTCTCGGGCTTTGCTCCGTCGCTCTCCAGCCTGTTTTCTGCCCTGAGCGGCCTGTGCAGTCATTTCCCTGCCTCTGAGTGTAGCTGGCCGTACGACGCAGAGGTGGAGTGGCATGAAACCCTAAACCATCTGAGCCGCGTGCAGCTCTAAGAGGGCCGCGAGGGAGGTCTTTCAGTCTGTACATTTTCAGCCAGGGATGGGGACAGGTCCCTGCCGCTGTCCCGGGCGTGTTGAGCTCTTGAGTGCTTGCTGGAGAAGGGAAGCGAGCTGCGTTTCCCCCATTCCCCGGTTGGAGTCCTTCAGCACCCGCTGCCAGAGTGGCCGGCCGAGTGGCTCAGGGCTCGGGCCTCCTCCTCTGCCATCTCTCCCACCGCCATCTCCCCCTTCCCAGCATCACGTCTACCCGTGAGGGGCCTGGCCAGCTTGCTTTCTCTCATAGGGGGGGGGGGAGAGATTCCCTGAGCTCCACGTGCAGGTCCGAAAGGAATTCCTCCTCGGGTTAAGCTGACTCGTAACCTTTGTGTGTGTGGGGGGGTTTCTTCCACTGTTAACATATGAAGATATGAAGCTGCCTTGGTGTAGAGAGGCAGTTTGGCGTTGTGGTGAAGTGCGCGGACTCTAATCTGGGAGGACTGGGTTTGATTCCCCACCTCTCCACTCGCAGCTGTCGGTGTGCCCTTGGGCAAGCCATAGTTCTGGCATAGCTGTCCTTGAAAAAGAGCTGTTTCTGTCAAGAGCTCTCTCAGCCCCACCTACCCCACAGGGGGTGTCTGTTGTGGGGAGGGGAAGGGAAGGGAAAGGAGTTTGTCAGCCGCTCTGAGACTCCCTTGGGTAGTGAAGGGCCATGGGGTATAAGAAGAAGAAGAGAAGAGGAGATTGGATTTATGCCCCGCCTTTCAGTACCCAAAGGAGTCTCAGATCTCTTCTTCTTCAACTGAATCAGGGTCGGTCTTGTCTCCTCAGATCGGCAGTGGCTCTGCGAGGTCTCAGGCCGAGGTCTTTTGCATTACCTCCTACCTGTCAGCGAGCTGCCATTTCTCTGGGACACGTCCGTCCCTACTCCTGCCCTTCCCCCCTTCCCTCCCTGTGTTATTCTCTTCGTGCTCTGTCACTGAGCCAGGGCCCCTCCCTTGGTCCTGTTGTCCACTCCTGCTTGTGTTGGGCAGAACGGTCAGGACCGGCCCTGGGAAAGAGCTGGGGCCGATATGACCTTTACTTGTGTTTATGAAATTGGCTGTTGTGGTTCTCAGGCTGCTTCGCGCCTTTTCTAATCAGCTCCCTTACGAGGGAAATGTGCCCATTGGGTTAACCAAGTTTGAAGTTCCTATATTGCCTTGCCCCTGTGTATTATCGTTATTCTGAACAATCTCTGTATGTTCATGACCAACCATGCTTTGGAAATAAATCTTACTTCTTTGGAACGTGGGTTTGTTCTCCTGACTGGGGATCTGACATTTTGTTCAGAATAACGATAATTCCTCACCCCGAGTCTGACATCGATCATGAGCGGGCAGTGGCAGCAGCAAACCTCTGGCTCTCCCGTTCCGCCAAGGGCCAGGCGCTGTTTGGCCGCTGCGCCTTGCCCCAGTGAAGCCGCCTTTTCTTTCCTCCAGCATTCGCAGAAGGAGCACGTCCCCTTCAGGACTGAAGACCTTCTCAAAGACCCCCAGTACGCGAAAGGGACCATCCTGAAAAGCAAGCAGGCCATGTTCACCGCCACGGACGCCTTCCCCCTTGGGGCTTTTGTCAGTCCCCTGGGGTGTGGCCAGCCACAAACGCAAGCGGGGCCACCCGTGAGGGGCCACGATTCCAGGTTCTGCCTCAGCGCCTTGGAAAGAGAACCCAGGAGCAGCTGAGTGACTCTTTGGCAGGCTGCGGAAGAGGCCTGTGGACTTCCAGGCGCCACCCGGGGCACAGGCAGAGCTGCCAAGGGGAGGAGGTGAAAATACAGTGGCAGTGGCAGCAGCAAACCTCTGGCTCTCCCGTTCCGCCAAGGGCCAGGCGCGGTTTGGCCGCTGCGCCTTGCCCCAGAGAAGCCGCCTTTTCTTTCCTCCAGCATTCCCAGAAGGAGCACGTCCCCTTCAGGACCGAAGACCTTCTCAAAGACCCCCAGTACGCGAAAGGGACCATCCTGAAAAGCAAGCAGGCCATGTTCACCGCCACGGACGCCTTCGACAAGATCCGATCAGCCACGGGCGTCAAGTAAATGAAAGCATTTGGGATTGCTTTCCTTACTTTGTTTAGATCATCTTAAGTTAATGTATAAGTTGTTTTTTCTAAAGTAAAACCTCAGTATTCAGGTTAGATTGCCGTGTTGGCACTTTGCGACAGATAAGTGGGTTTGGGGTCGCAATTTGGGCACTCGGTCTCTAAAAGGTTCGCTATCACTGATCTAGTCCGACCCCCTGCCAATGCAAGACCAGCCTTAAAGCATCTCTGACTAATATCCGTCCAGCCTCTACTTGGAAGCTGTTGGTGAAGGGGAGCTCACCACCTCCCTAGGCAGCTGATTCCACCTCTGAACCACTCTGACCATGAAAAAGTGTTTCCTAATATCCAGCCGATACCTTTCCGCATGTAATTTAAACCCGTTGCTTCGGGCCCTCTCCTCTGCTGCCAACTGGAACAGCTCCTTGCCCTCCTCCAAATGACAGCCTTTCAGATATTTAGATAGCGATCCTGTCTCCCCCTCAATCTCCTCTTCTCCAAACTAAACATTCCCAGGGCCCTCAGCCTTTCCTCGTAGGGCTCAGCCTCCAGACCCCTGATCATCCTCGTCGCTCTCTTCTACACCCTCTCGATTTTGCCCACATCCTTTCTGAAGTGAGGCCTCCGGAACTGCCCACAGGACTCCAGGTGCGGCCTGACCAAGGCAGTCTACAGAGGGGCTATGACCTCCTGTGATTATTTCAATGCCATGGCCCTTTTAATACAACCCAAGACCGAATTTGCCTTTTTTTGCCACCGCATCACACCGACTGCTCATATTTAGCTTACAGTCCATTTTTACCCCAAGATCTCTTTCGCATACACTCCTCCCCAGGAACGTATCCCCCATCCAGTATCTGTGCTTGACATTTTTGTGGCCCAGATGTAATGCTGTGTGCATTTGTCTTTGTTGAATTGCATCCTGTTTGCAACCGCCCCCTTCTCCAGAGTATTCCGGTCTCGTTGAATTTTAACTCTTATCTGCTTGGGTGTCTGCTACTCCTCCCAATTTGGTATCATCAGCATATTTAATGAGTCGCCCTTGTTTACAGTCCACTCTTACCCCAAGGTCTCATTCGCGTACACTCCTCCCCAGAACGTATCCCCCATCCAGTATTTCTGCTTGACATTTTTGTGCCCCAGATGTGATTAAATAAAAATAATTAAATAAAACACAGGTCCAGTGGGCCTCTCTGAAGCAGTGAGCGTGACTCACGAAAGCTCCATTATAGCAAGAAACGCCATTAGTCTTCCCAGGGGTCATTTTGTAGAATAAGAGGTGCAGGAGCTCATTAGCATAACTCATTAGCATGACTTATTTGCATATGCCACTCTCCCTGACATCACCAGAAGTGTGTCAGAAGGCAACACCCCACCGCTCAGGCTCCACTGGACTGTTTTGGATTGCTAGCTATTGGGGGTGGGGGGAATGCACAGATCTGTCCTCACAGAGGAGGGAGAGCTTGTACCTGAATAAACCTTGGCCTTAAAGGTGCCACTGGACTCCTTTGGATTGCTATCTGGGAGGGGGGGGGCTCTGCAGCTTACCTGGCTGCTTCTTGCTCTGACTGAGGGCTGCTGGGAGCAGGGGGCGGGGCTTGTTGCGTGTGCCCGCCCCCTGGGCTCTTTACTGCTGGAGCTCCGCTCCTGTGCGCTCCTGCAGGAAATGACCGGGTCTTCGAGGTGCGCCACTGGACTTCTGTTTTGTTTTGCCACAGTACCCCCTGGCCCTTTGCATTGGGAACAACTTTCCTCTTTGAACCCTCCAGCTGGAAAGAGGAACTGGGGGGGGGGGACTGTCCCTCTCTGGGGCTGTCCTTTGTCCCCCGTGTCCTCTGCCCAGCCCGGCTGGGGTCCGATGCAACAGAAGGTCTGATGCAACAGAAACACAAGAGGGAGTGCGAGAGCTCCCGAGAGAGCACCTCCTTGTGCAAGAGGGCCTGATGGGCCTGTCCTCTGAAAGGCCTGGGGGTGGGGGGATGAGAGCAGCAAGCCCCCCCCCCAAAGTGCTCTCTCAGAAGCAGGGAGCAGGCAGCCCGAGAGCCAAAGTCAGAGCTCCCCGTTGACCTGAGCCGTGCTCCCCCCCAGCACATGTGTCCTACTTTCAGTTCCCTGCTGGGAGACACTTAATGCTGCAAGGTCATCCCTCCCTGCCGCTCTCTCTGTCCCTCAGCTCCTGCCCGGCCATGGGGGAGGGGGGGTCACATAGCCCCTGCTCCTCCAGGCAAATTCCATTCATAGACCTCCGCATTCATAGAGCTCTCTGCCGCCTGGCCCGAGGGAAGGAGCAGGTTTCTCTCTCCCTCCGGTGACCTTGGGCTTTGCAGTGTTTACCGAGTGCCTCCATCCCCTCCCCCGCCCCCAGTTCTCTCTGGAAAGCCACTTGCGGGCCCAGGAA